TACTTATAAGGATGTTCATACACTTTATTTATTTATTTATTATTTTTAATGTTTGCCTTGCTATAATCTCATAACTAGTGTGGTACCCTTTACTAAGACAAATATTTAGATTTAGATGAGTTGAAAAACGTAAAACACATGTATTGAAATAAAATAAAATGTAACTTATATTTGTACGCTACATTATTTGTTTGGTCTTTTGGTATATCGTTTATTGTCACAAGTTATATTAGGATTTTATATAGGATTAAATAAGTCAATTAAATTATTTAGGAGTATATATATGATATGATTTATACTTATTTTATGAAGAATGCATTACCAAATATAACGGAAATTGTAAAACGACTTTTTTCTTCTTTACAAAAAAAAGTGACATTAAGTAACACTACGTTGTAGCACATTTTGGAAAAGGGATTTATGTATCATGTATTTGTAGCATATTGTACAATGCAATATTTAGCTAACCATTTTTTAGCATTTTATGAATATGTAACACTTGTATGTAACATTTTTTATAAGGTAACACTTCATAGGTAATACTTATGGTATTTTATTAATGTAGCACAAAGTACGTATCATTTTAGTTAAATCAAACTTCATGTAACGCTTATTAATTAATTTGTAACATATTTTTACACTCATTTATTAAAATAAAATATAATTATTATTAAATCAAGGAAATATAACAACCATTGCAAAAAGATATGAGTTTTATGTGTATACTTTTAAAAAACATGAGTTATATAAATAAAAAAAAGTGTTAATACAGCTTGTTAGAATATCACTTGTGAGTTGTCCCACATCGTTCATACATAGAAAATAGACTCACCTTATAAGTCTAAGGGGTTGCTCCTCCTTCCACCAATTGGTTTTGGGATGGAACCCACTTGAGCTTCATCTGGCTTTCCCTGTTGGTGCGCTTCACGTGCGTGGGACCACAGCATTTACCTCCGTTTCTTACATGGTATCAGAATCGATTCTATTGGGATCGTGCGACGACGTACCCGTTTATGGGAGTCTGCTTCTAGTAGGCTTGGGGCACCTAGCTCCATATATGTGTTTGGGCTTTCTTATTAAGGACCCACAAGTGAGGGGGCGTATTAGAATATCACTTGTACGGGAGTATTAGAATATCACTTGAATATCACTTGTACGGGAGTCTGCTTCTAGTAGGCTTGGGGCACTCCTCCTTTCACCAATTAGTTTTGGGATGGAACCCACTTAAACTTCATCTGACTTTTCCTATTGGTGTGCTTCACGTGCGTGGGATCGCACCATTTACCTCCGTTATATAAGTATACCAAACATGAATAATGGCCACAATTTTTTTAAAAATGAAATCTAACCATTTTGACATATAAAAAATATCCATTTACCCTCAACTCCAATTTTTCAATTCAATTTTTTTCTCTCCCACAATTTTTTTTTTTTCCTTCAGATTTCTTCCCGCATAACTCAATTTTCACTTCGCTCTCCTCAAAAATTCTCTCCCCAATTTTTTCAGGCTCTCTCCCTAAGCTTGTCAAAATGGGTTAAGGCCCGTGGGTCAGTCCGTCCCACCCCGCCTAATAGCTGGATTGAGTTAAAAATATTTTGATTTTTATTAAAAGATTTGTATTTAATAGACATGGCCACGGGTTGGCCCGACCCGTGGCCCAGCCCGCGAACAGGTACCGATCCGGACCGAACCGGCACCGGTACCGGCATGAATAGTGGCGGGCTTTTGAACCGGACCGCGGCCAATGCAGTCCGGTTAAGGTTCTCCTTTTTTTTTTTTTATTTGACCCGCCGGGCCGAGACCGGTTCCGATTTTTCCGACGGGTCATAGTTGTTTTTTTATTTTTATTTTTATTTTTTATTTTTATTAGCCCGGCGGATCGATGAACCGCCGGGTCGGGCCGGTTCAAATGAACCGGCCCATAGGAATTGCCGGGCCAGTTACGGGCTCACCAATTGAGGCCCGTCGACCCGGTGGGCCGGGCCGGGCCGGGCCCAGACCCGGCACCTGGCCACCTCTATTATTTAAGCATCCTTTCAAATTTTGAGGTGAGATTTTAGTTTGATAAACACAAACCTTAATGTACTATACTAAATAAATTAATAGATGTATTATATTATCAACCTAAAACTCACACACACAGACTGACACATACAGGCTCTGACACACACACACACAGTAGTGGTAGAATAGTACTTAGTACTGTACCCCCAATAATCTTTTTTATTCATCAATGTAAATTACTGTTGAGAATATATTGTTGTATGTGGTCTTAGTTAAGAACGAGCTACACACAGCACAAATGTGGTAAATGGTAAAATACTCTTTTACTAGGCTTCAGAAAACGGCATCTGCAGAGCCTGCTTTTAGTCAATAATCAAATCCACGCAATCATTCGTGTTTGTTACTTATCATTATCTGGTAAACAAAAGTTTTGTGGCTAAATTATTATTTGGTAAACAATGGGTGCTTTTTCCGACTGTTACCGGCCGATATCCGTTTGTAATTATGTGTTTCATTTATGGTAGTCTGCCATTTGAAAAAAAAAAAGAGAGGTCAAGAAGTAAGATTTTTAGATTTTAAAATTTCAATAGGCGCGGTTGTGGCTAGAGAAATACTATCGGCGATTCAAGGCGCGGGTTAGCGGCTTATCGGCAATTGAAACCCATATTTTAGTTACTTTTACCTATCAAATAATTAATTATTTATTGAGGAATTATTACAATCAACTAATCTAATCAAAGAATGAAATGTGATAATTTGATTAGTTGGTCGCTATAAACTAATTTAATTTGTTATTCGCTAATTGTCAAACACGTTATGAATTAATATATAGGAAGAGATATTTTCTTAAATTGTGCATGAGTATAATAAGATCAAATTGTGGTGATTTGAACTAATGCTATATAAATATAATGAAATTTGAATTTATAACAATAATAGTTAAAAATATAAATATGTGAGTTAATGAATAATACTTTAAAAAAAAAAGAAATATGCAATAATAATCTACTTTTGTGTTTTAATTTTATTAGTTACTGTAGAGAAAAAGTGGGAACTGGGAAGGACATAATAATATGTTTAGTAAAGACCTTTCACTTTGCATAGAACTAATGCGTAATTCCTGCGATGCACATACTGTATATTTATTGTAGGACATGTATCAATAACAAATTTTTGAGAAATGCTACAGTCCCGTTACGGCACCATTCCGTCGGGGTTTGTAACCGTTAGATCATCCTGTAACCGTCGGTGATAGTTGATCTAACGTTTACAAACCCCGACGGAATGGTTCCGTAACGGGACCTTAGCATTTTCCCAAATTTTTATGTAGTTTCACAAATTCGATTTTCATGTGGTTTTACGTTCTCTTTACAAAAGCCCTGCTCCCAAATAGTGTTACTTAATAAAGCCAAAGCATTAAAAGGTGATTTTTTTACCCAAAAAAAATCAAAACTTAACTTGCAGACAAAAAAATATAGGAAAAAGTGGGAGTGAAAAGAAATGAAAAGCACGTATTCAGTGAATACGTTTTCTACAATTTTTAATTGTAAAACGTATTCCGTGAATGCGTTTTCTTTTGTAAAAAAAATGTGAAAATGTATTCCTTGAATACGTTTTACAGTGAAATTGTAAAGAAAACGTATTTAGTGAATACGTGTTTTTTATTTTGGTTCACTCTCCCTTTTTCTTTTTGTTTTTTGTCCACTTACTATTTTTTTATTAATAAATATATAAATTACCCATTAAAAGGTGGCAGAGTGGAGGCACAACATTGATTGCCATATAGCTACTCTCTCTG